GCATGTTTCATTTTATAACTAGCTTTGAAGAGCCGACCCAGTTCTGAATATTCGTACTATCAAAGTTCAACTCCATAGCCTTGTAATTTTGAACCTAACTTAGAAGACAAGGGAACTCCTAGATCAAGCACTGGAATAAACTAATTTTTGTGGAAGGCCTTTTTATATGGAACTAACCCTCATTCGTGTTACATGGAGAGGAAAACTACGAAAATCTCCCATGGTTAGCCCGATGGCAAGAGGATTTTAACCCATGATCCGTCTACCACTGAGGATCCATATTTTATTTTATAACCGTCATTGAACATCCGACCCATTTTTTGGGTTAAAGAACTGCTAATCAGAGTCTGACTTAGACAGGGGCATAAAGGGCAGTTGCCCCGGGTCCCCACATCAGAGGGGGGCCCCAAATCGAGGTAAAAGTTTTACGTTTACTTCTTTAATGAACTTTTTTTAAACAAAATATCTGTACAATGTAAAATCCGTCAGTTTTATGTTAACTTCATCATTAATCTATCGAATGAACACGAAAAATCTATATTTCGTAAATCCATGGCTTTCTAGAGAGTAATTCAGCTAAATTTCCGCAATTACGATGCATAAATTTAGCCAGTCAATAGCTTGTATTTTTACATATCGCAAAATGCGATATGTTTACAGAAAAACGGGCTTTTGATTGGATTAATTGGGCCATCGTAATTGCGAAAATTTTGTTGAATTCCGTCCTAATGTCATCAAGGATATGAATTTTTCGCTGAAACTGCTTTCAGCATGATGGACACGGAATTCTCAATTAATAAAATGTACGGAACGATATTTCGTCTGACCATTGGAGGGGGCAGGGACTTTAAAACTATTTTAGGTTCTAGTCAATTTTCTTGTTATGTTATCTATAATGAGGTGAAAAATTTAAATACCTCAATAAAATTCGGCTCCTAATTACTGAAAAAGTGAAACAGAGGGGGCCCCAAAGAAGTTTTTGCCCCGGGTCCCAATTATGCTAAGTCTGGCCCTGCTACTAGTTTTCATCTCCATAGCCTTGTAATTTTGAACCAAATTCAGAAGACAAAGGAACTCCAGGACCAAGTATTGGGAGAAATTTGCCTCCGTGGAGGACTTTTTGCTGGAACTAACCAGCATTTTTTCTACTTGGAGAGGAAAAGCACCAAAATCTCCCACGGTTAGCCTGACGGCAAAGGGACTCTAACCCGTGATCCGTTCAACACGGGGACTCTAACCCATGATCCGTTTAACACTGAGGACATTTCACGTCAGCGCTGTGGTCGGCGTAGGCTGGATGCGGAATTCGTATCGACCATCCATCGCTGGGATTCGAACCCGGGTCACCTTATTGGAAGGCGAACGCTCTTTCCCCTGAGCCATCACGGCTCATCCATATTTTATTTTATAACCGTCATTGAACAGTCGACCCAATTTTGGGTGTACGACTATCAATGTTCAACTCCTCAGCATTGTAATTTTGAACCCAATCCAGAAGACGAGGGAACTACGTGATCAAATATTTGGGGGAAATTTGTTTTCGTATGGGACTTTTTTGATGAAACTAACCCGCATTTGCGTTACATGGAGAGGAAAACCACGAAAATATCCCACTGTTAACTTTACGGCAAGGGGACTCTAACCCATGATCCGTCCACCACTGAGGATATTTTATGTCAGCACTGTGGTCTGTGCAAGCCGGTTGCGGTATTCGAAATCGCTGGGATTCGAACCCTGTTTACCTTATTGGGAGGCTAACGCTTTATCCCCTGAGCCACCGCGACTCCATCCATATTATTTTATGCAAATTAAAGTAGCGCAAAAGCGTTTTTGTTTCTATGTTAGATTTTACTAAAGTATTTGTCGCCAGTCACGATTTTTTAGGCGCCTTGGAGATCTGGATTTGCAAACCTCTGCATAGTATGAAAAATTGGCTTTCATAAACTTTAGCATCCCTCATCTCAAGACAAAATCGTGCATTGTATTAAATATGTTTCAATTTTTTTTTATTAGAAATAAAATATTTCTTTAAAACAACTTTTTTATTTGAAACTAAGTTTGCTACTATGTTGTGTAATCAAGTTTAAGAAGCATTGTTCAATATAGACTTACATTAAATTTGCACCAAATTTCAACGATATTGGGGTTGAAATCGCTCTAAAATTTCTATCTTTGTATTTGAGTTCGATATTTCCGACATCAGTGGCGGATGAATATACGTAAATGCAACCCTTTTATTGATTTTTAAAGGTGCGGAATCATTGTACTATCAATGCCACTGAAAAAAAAATTTTCACTGAGATGTGGAAGTTATGTAAGATATTTTTGAGAAAGATAAATCTCTTTGAAACACAAAGAAGAAAAAAAAGCTATTTTATAACTGTAGTTTTCTCTTTTTTACTTGGTTGTTCTTATCATAGCCTGTTTCGCAGGAAACATGCTTCAAATAATAAACACTGTCTTTTGTGTGCTTATGTCACCTGTGATCAAGGACGGTCTATAAAAAAATTATTTATGGCTAACGGATGAAAAGAATTCATAAAAAGTATAGACATGCAGAAAGTTTTACTTATAAGTGACGGTAACACATGTGACTTATACCTTCGAAGGGTGCGTAACGTTTTTAAAAAGTGCTTAAAGGTGCTTATTTTCGATTTTTAAAAGCCCTTAAAAGTGCTTTTTTCTTTTGGTGTTTTAAAAAGTGCTTAATTTTCCCTTTTCTAAAATGATATTTTTCCTTTACCATGTTGATTTTCGCTACGAATTATGCAGAAAGGCACTGTTCGCATTGTTCAGTTCAATGTTTTCACAATTAATTTAACCCCAATCTATTTCGGAGCATCGTCAGTCCACAGCGTTGAAAACACCATTCGATTTACATGAGTCAAAAATTTTGACCTTTGTCAAAAAATGTGCCAAAAGTTTTTTTTTTTTTTTTGACATGACGATTAAAACCAGTTAAAACCGTCGATTATCAAAAACTTTCCAACTCTACTTAATTATGATATTTTTTTAAAGTGCTTAAAAATATTATTTGAGTGCTTAAAAAGTGTTTAAAAGGTGCTTCTTTTTTGTTGAATAATTTGGCTTTGCACCCTGCTTCATGTTTATTCTTTCTTTTTTCTTTTAATTAGATTATAAATTTAAGAAAAAAAGAAGAAAATAATTAGTTGCTTTCGAAAAATTGTCTTTTTAACAAAAATTTTTTTTAAAAAAAGGAAGAAGTGTTTTCTTATAGTAAAGCCCATTTCCCTGTGGAAAACACTGTACTGCTATATTTGAAAAAAATGTTATAGTCCAAATGCTAAATGTAAGACATCATTTCACCAATTTAATTTAGCAAAAAATATTTAGTAACATTTTTTTCTATAAAACTACTTTCTATTCTACTTTCTGAAAAAATTTTACAATTCAAATTTAAAGTATCTGACGCCATTTTAAGAATGACACAAAATACACGCTCTAAAATTTAATTTTTTGCTCTATGAATTGGTGAAATTAATTTTAAAGTGTCCCTTGTAATGATAAAAATTTAGCCACATTTCCCTCGATATAATTTGATCTTCTACTGCTATTTTTGAAGAAAAAAAAATATTGCTCAAATTCTAAGTGCGTGGCATCAAGATTAACGCTTGCAGAAAATATCTAGCTCCTAATCATTATAGATTTTGCGGTGAAAATTTTTAAAATTAATGTTTAAAGTATTTATTGAAACGTTATACATGTAGCCAGTTGTTCCATTAATTTTAGAGTGTCTTTTGTAATGTTAAAAGTTTAGCCACATTTCCCTCGATATAATTTGATCATCTACTGCTATTTTTGAAAAACAATTATTGCATCTATTGAAACGTAAAACATGTAGCCAGTTTTTCCATTAATTTTAGAGTGCCTTTTGTAATATTAAAAGTTTAGCCGCATTTCCCTCGATATAATTTGATCATCTACTGCTATTTTTTAAAAAAAGTTATTGTATCTATTGAAACGTTAAACATGTGACCAGTTTTTCCATTAATTTTAGAGTGTCTTTTGTAATGTTAAAAATTCAGCCACATTTACCTCGATATAATTTGATCATCTACTGCTTGGTTTTGAAAAAAAGTTATTGCATCAAAACGTTAAACATGTAGCCAGTTTTTCCATTAATTTTAGTGTCTTTTGTAATGTTAAAAGTTTAGCCACATTTCTTTCGATATAATTTGATCATCTTCTGCTATTTTTGAGAAAATTTTCTTGCATCTATTGAAACATTTAACATGTAGCCAGTTTTTCCATTAATTTTAGAGTGTCTTTTATAATGTTAAAAGTTCAGCCACATTTCCCTCGATATAATTTGATCTTCTACTGCTTGTTTTTGAAAAAAGGTTATAGCTCAATTCAAAATGCGTGGCTCCAAGATTGAAGCCCGCAGAAAATATCTAGGTACTAATCATATAGGTTTTGCGGTAGAAATTTGCAAAATTAATGTTTAAAGCATCTATTGAAACGTTAAACATATAAAAAAAATTTCAATTTAAAATGTCTCTTGTGATAAAAAAAAAAAATTACCCGCATTTTTCTCTATATAATTTGTTCTGCTGCTATTTTTGGAAAAAAAAAGTTATTGCTCTAACTCAAAGTGGATCGCACCATTATTATCAAAGTAGAATATTCGTTATTTTTAAATATTGACTCTCCGAAAAACAAAATTTGACCCACTTTCTTACTCTATAAAAAACGAAATTTCAGTTTTGAAAAATTTACTGCACATTTGTAAAATGTACCACACCAATTCAAAGATTTAACAAATTTTTACAGTTTTTTTTCCTCTTCCCGTCAAGGCATACTTTGGAATATAGTTTATTTACATCACTTTGAGTATGTTCCTTATAATGAATTTAGAGTAGCATAGTATGTATGTTGTTGAGTATATTTTTAAATTAGAAAAGCGTATTGTTAGTATGCTATGGGTATAATTACAATGAAATCTAACACAAGCTCATTTGCATTGTTGTTCTTTTCAGATACATAATTGCAAGGATGTCTTACTACGGCTCTTCTGAAGCCGCTCTTGGCAACACATTTGATGCTTCATTTTCAGAGAAAAGTATACGGCATGGTAAGTTTCGTACTTCTTTTAAACTTAGTAAGGGATATCTTAATACTTAACAGGATACTTAAACTCTGTTTTTTAAATTTTCAATACAAAGAAGATAGCTAAATNAATGCGTCAAAATGACGCGTCTCGTAAACCTAGTGTTAAGGATAATAAAAGCTTCGGCAAATAAATGCTCAGAAACAAAACGAACGTGACTTATTCATGGACCCCATCTATTAAGCAAAAGACAAATATGATGTATGTATGATACCATTCATTAAAACCACGAGCCCTTAGTAATTATATAAAATATCTCTTTTACAAAAACTTAAAATTACGTGGTTGTTATCATGGTTAATACACTGTATGTTTCCCATCCGATGAAATACAGTGCGTACAACTCCTAGGCATGCTGGATATCATATTATCGAGCTAGTTTTGGGGAAGATAACTCCACTCAGCTAGCAATGCTCTCCGAAGTTCTGGTACTCATACAAGGTGATTGACAGATAGCAACTCGTCGGTGTAGCATGTCCCGCACATGCTCTATCGGTTTCAAGTCCGGCGAGAATGCTGGCCATTCCATACGGAGAATATCTTTAGATTGAAGGCATTCGCTTACGATGTTTGCTCGATGAGGACTGGTGTTTTCATTCATAAGCCCAGATTCTGTGCCCATGCCTCCCCTAAACAAATGTACAATTTGTCCCAGAATGACATCCCTATAAATTTTGCTTGTCATGATTCCGATTTTCACGTGCAGATCTGTTCTAGAGCCCCGTATAATTCCACCCCAAACGAGCAATCGTGCATAACCGTAATGGCGTCGTTGAATGATGTTGTCTTGGTATTAGCTGCTACCTGGCGTTCTCCATATGGATGGGTGATCATGTAAAGCTAAGGGTGGTGGCGCTAGTGGTAAAATTGCTCTTTCAAGACTTCCGGGTTACTGCTTCCGATATATTTTTACGCCGAAGATTGAAAAACCGCGCCATCATATTATT